GAGAAGAATTTGTTAATTAACTAGAGATACATTTAAGAATTAGGTTAATGCAGTTCATAAGAAATAACATTTTTCTCATTATAGCTTTTAGAATACTCTATTATAACTTGTCAACAACTTTAGAAAAGTCAGTTTTTAAAGCTCCAAGCTTCTTATTCCTAGCATAATGATAATTTTGATGTATAATGTTAGAGGTGAGTAAGATGTCATCTTACTCTTTCATATAAGCACTCTGATCTGACTAGTCAAGATCAACCTATGAAGAACATCTTTAAACCTATCGCAAAGAGTCTTGGAAGTAATCTTGTAAGCCACATTGCACTAGCTAATGAAATGGAGATCTTTAAATGTTTGAATCAATGAACCTTTAGGAATTAAAAAAATAAAAGTTCTATTCAAAGATTATATAGCGAGACCCCATAATCCCAAACATCATGAATCGTATTAAGATGTCATCACCTACTAAATTCCAATTCTTTTAAGAGAAGGAGGCATGAAACCCATTCGAACCTGGAGCACTAATGTTAGGAAGATCAAAAAACAGCTCCTTTTACTTCTACATCAAGAAGAGGCGTCATTAGAGCTGAGATGTCAGCTGAAGTTTGCGACGCTTGGATGAAGAATCGGTGACAGGGGTGGATGAAAGGCGCGTGAAGATGGTGAGGTGCTGAGGCGAGTGAAGGGAGCTTCGAAAACAAATGACTTGGGTTTCGGTAGGCAAGAAAAAGACAAGTTAATGAGGGAATCTGAAAGGGACATCATTACTCACGGAACTGTACTGTAACGGACTACGGAATTTTTATTTCCCTGCACCTTCGTGCCTTTCTTCACCCGCTAATTCCGCTGCGTTTTTTGTGTAAAAAAATTAAATAAATTGAGTCCAGGGTTACTTCAAGTATGCCACCCTGAAAATCATTTACAAAGATAATTGTAAATTGTTCACAAATAAAATTCTTATATCAATTATAAGTCAAATTTTTATCATCTATATCAATTTTTGTCGACATAACGCAAAGAGGTAAAGTTTTTAAAACTTGATTATTTTGACAATGCTAACGCTTGAAAAAAATCATTTCACGTACATCAAAATCCAATAAAAGCTAAGAGTGACTAGAATAAATACTTCTGCATCATTTAACTCCAAAATGTGACAGGTCCTTTACAGTTTATACCATACCTCGTGGAAGTGGATCTCGAGATGCTAAATAGAACGTCTTTTTATATTTCGAAAACTGGAAAAAAAAAAAAAAAACTTGCTCTGGAGTCTGGACATCGAACCTCAAAGTTCTCCTTGTCTACGACTGAACTTTAAACAAGTTCGTTTTTTTCTTTTATGAGTAAAATATAGTAAATAATGTCTAACTAGATACGATGCTAATTAATGTTTACAACTAAATATATTTGTAGTGCGTATTGGCCTCTCAACTGAGAATTTAACGGAGCTGTAGCACTTCAAAAAGCAGAGAGGAGAAAGAGTCGTGGAAAAGCAACAAATGAAATACTGAGAAAATTTTTTTATCTTTTTATATGTCACATTATTTATTTTTTAAAATAATTTTTTCTTTTATCCTTCATTAAATATTGCAAAAAAAATATTATTAAAATATGCATATCTAAAAAAGATAAAGTTAAAAATTTATTATATTTTTAGATAAAGTTAATTAATAAATTTTAAATTTTTTTAATTTTGATGAAATATATTAGAAGTGATTTATAAATAGGATAAAATATATAATTTTAAATCATATAGGTGTGATTTTAGGGTTAAAAAAATACATGCCTTAGATTTAGCAATTATAAATTAAATAATTATTTTAGCCCGAAACACTTGATCTCTTGGTCCTATTTTGCATCTAGTTAAGGGGATTTTTTTTTTTGAAAGTCAAATGAATATATTAACATGAAAAGAAGTTTTACAAACGAAACCTAAATAGAAGAGGGCAATTGCAGGGGGAAAAAAAATCAACATGCCATTGCAGTTGTTGCCTCTTGATCAAAATAGAAGTAAAGTAACCTAGCTAATAGATGAAGAACATCTTGAGTAAAACAATCAGTTTTATCTTTCAAAGGTTTGAATTTTCTGCTGTGAGAGAGAATGATCTAGTTAGAGGATTTAATAGAGATCCAAATTCCAAACTAATCTGGATTAAATTAGGTAAAACTTTTTTTTTTGTACATATCTTTTTTGAAAGAGGTTCACAAATATGTTTAGCATATATATTTTATACATGACAGGCACTCGAATTGGATAATATAATACAGAGGTTCACAATTATGTTTAGCATATATGTTTTACATAAAAAGATGGATGGACTATTAATTATTTTTTTAATTTTTTAATTCTACTCTCTTATATTTTTTATGAGCAGGCTAATTAAGACATTGCATATGAAAAATATATGTATTTTTAAGGTTTATTTTTTAAATAATATCATTGATTTAATTATCTCTTCTTAATTTCAATGACTAGTAAAATTAATTTATATATTAAAACAAAAAAAGTAATTTTTATATATAAAACAGGAAGCATTTTATCAAAAAAAAAAAAAAGGAAGCAATATATCTATGTGCGCGCGTGCCAACAGCATGTATTAAATTAGAGCTTGATGATATTCGAAAATTCAAAGTGAAAGGGATAATAATAATAATAAATTCATATAGAAGATTTTTTTTTGTTTTTTTTTTCATGAAATGGATAGATTGCAATGTGAACACTAAAATTATATCCGATGAATTTGTGAATGGAAAGTCAGCTTTATACATAGCATGAATATTTAATTTATTTATAAATATAACATGGCGTATCAAGCAACGAATGATTATACTAAAATTATGCTATTAATCAACGAAACGAGAAGAACAATAACTTATATTAGCATTGCTGATCCATGGATTTCTAAACGTTGACGCGAAACATTTATTTTTCTTTTTCGGACCAATACTGTGAGAATTATTTAAGGTGCTTCCTAATAATAATTTGACTTAATTAATCCAACATCTAGATTCATTTTCCTAGTCAAGCTATTGATAAAAAGAAAAAAAATATCCAAAAGGCAAAGTTGTTGTATTGGATGTGATTTTAGCCATATATCATTAAATGGCTTCTAAGCATAGCGAGCAGACACCATTACACTTGATGCAACTTTGAACAAGATTGGATAATTATCAACTTCATCGAGAATATAAAACAAGGACATTGAAGAATACCACATACTTTTCCCTAAATAGTAAAGTAATTCCATATGAATCTTAAATCTTAAAATGTTTTAATGTGATGCACTAATGTTATTCATATATCGTTTTTCTGGTTCTATTTAATATGCATGGAGTTCAAATTAGTTTTCAGATTGTCTAATTATAAAACTGTATAATAATATTTTTTATTTTAAATTATAAGACACTTTTTGAAGAAATTATGCATATCAATAAAATTTATCAAGTATACTTTACAATACATTTTTAAAATAAAAATATAAATCTTTAAAATTACCCTCAATTTAATATAATTTTATTTATAAAATATTAAATAGAGAGAATATGTAATTAAAAGGAAAGAATAATATTAAAACAAATATAATTAAGGACACATTATTCTTGTCAAAGTGATTATAATTTGAAACACTGAAGCATCTCCAAAGGTATTTTATAAAATTAGAACGGAGAGAGTATCTAAAAAAATAAAGAAATTATTTGTAATAATAATTTTTATATTTGTATTATTTTAAGAAAAAAGATATATAAAAATTAACAATTAAGTTACATGTCAGACGCAACAAATGTTGTTGAGTTGATTGGACCGTGGACATGGGTTGAAAGAGAGCATGCCACCTAAATTATCTTTGATCTTATTTATCCCATCAAATTTCCCTTTTGATTTAAAAAATATTACCTCGATAATATTTGAACGGTGGTAGATATTCTGACATTCACATCCCTCCCACTCACCCATTCTAAGAGTAACTTCCAAAACCTTCATATAAAGCCAGCAACGAAAAAATCCAAAACAAATAAATGTCATATTTAATAGCAAAATCCAAATTTCTCAATACTGATTTTGTGAAAAAAAAATATAGATATATTGTTTGACTTGGAAGTTCTGGTGACCTTCTCTTAAATTTTATTTAAAATTCACGTGTAATGTTTCACTTATATATATATATATATATATTAATTTAATTAATAAAAAATGGTCAAAAAATCATAATGATTTTTAAATAATAAAGATTAAAAATCTAAAATCACCCTAAGTAATTTTTTCCCAGACCCTAAATAAATAAACAATTTAAATTATTATAACTAATATTTCCGGATGTACAAATTATTATAAAAATTAGATACTCATTGTAGTTTTTGTCTATTATTTTAATATCAATTTAATAATATATGGTTTTTATAGTTCAAATTTTGATAAATTATTCTTTAAGCATTTAAAAATTATATTTCAAATACTTGACAAATTATAGTTTGAATTTTGATAACTTGTAAAAAATTAAATTAAATTATAATTTATCAAAATCCAAACCACAACTTATTATCGCAAGAGTAACCTCTATTTTTTAAAAAAAGAAAAGCAAAGAGTATTTTTTTTAATCGTTTCTAGTGTAAAGTTTATTTTGTTTCAGTCCACTGGACCTGCGAAGTAAAATTTCAGATTCCTTTATTACTCTGTTTGTGCAATTAATAAGTCCCTTCTATGGGCTCTTATGATTTTTTCCCTTTTTTCATATGGTAAGTTAGGCCACTACATGTAATTTGCTCATTATTTTATTCCAATTTATTTTTTTTTAAATGTAAATTTTCAATTAAATATTTCAATTGCAAAATGAATCGTACCTGCTAAGTACGCTTCCCTGTACCTCTCAAACTTCCTCTCAGCATCATCTTTACTCTCTCTCTCTCTCTCCTCTCTCCCACCTCCAACCACACACTCTATCACCTCCTCTCTCCTTTATATATATATATATATATATATAGATATACTAACCGCATTTTCTCATTCTCATTCACACCCACAACACTTTCTCATTTCTCATCTCTTTTCTCTCTCTCTCTCAGCAATTCCATACATTCCATTCCCTCTCCACCTTCCTCCGCCTTCGATTTTTCTCACCCTCGTCTTCCTTCTGGCTCCCAACTTTACCAAGATGAAGCAGTTGATTCGCCGGCTCGCGCGGGTCGCTGATTCGTCTCAGTACACTCTGCTCCGATCCGGCTCGTGCAACCGGCGGCCGCGACTGTCCCAGTCATTCCGATTGGTGGCATCTTCCAAGCTCCGGCGGTCGCACACGGTGCCGGAAGGTCACGTGCCGGTCTACGTAGGTGATGAGATGGAAAGATTCGTGGTCAGCGCGGAGCTTCTGAACCACCCGATCTTCGTGAAGCTTCTGAACAAATCGGCTCAGGAGTACGGCTACGAGCAGCAAGGCGTCCTCCGTATCCCCTGTCATGTCTTCGTCTTCGAGCGCGTCCTCGAAGCTCTCCGTCTCGGTCTGGGCCACGACGACGACGACGCGCGTGACATCCACGACCTCCTCAGTTCTCCTTCCTCCGAAGACTTTTGCTAGGATATGGCTTCGTTCAGAAAAAGAAAAAGAAAAAAGCAGAGAGATAGAAACGGAAGATAGTGGGATCTTTTTCATTTTCATCTTTCTTCACTCTAGTTTGTCTTCTTATTTTTCCTGTATATATACCTCACCGTCATCTGAACGAGGACAGAAATTTTCTTTGTTAATCTTGCTTCTGGTTGATATTGCTGCTCAACGACAACTGAAGGCAACTGCTCTTCTTTCTTCCTACTTTCTTGGGAAACGAACTGATAATAGAGAGAGAGAGAGTGAGTGAGAGAGAAGGAAGTAGATTTGGAGATCTTTCAACTTGCCCTGCAATTTAATTGAATTCCTGTTTCGGAATGTTTTCCAATTGGCGAAATGTGTAGGTGGGAATCGGATGAGTGATGAGTGTTATCAACAAATAATCACTAACAATAACAAAGCTCAGGTGCCGTTGACAATGGAGATATCAGATCGTTGCTCCCTTGCTTGAATGTTTTTAATTCCGGGTTTGGTGTAATTTGAAGTTTCTAGAGAAGAAAAAGGCATTTACAGTAACGGGGCGACAAAAACGCAGGACTGGGTAGAAAATCAGGCTTGAGAACATGAAATCTGAGAAAATTGAACCAGCCAAGGCGTTAATTTGGGGGATCCGTACGGTGACGTGTATACGTATCCATACATACATACATATACATATATATATATATATATATATTTATATATATAACTTTAATGGTTTCCCAAAAAATAAAAAAAATAGATCACTGTTCCCACTTAATCTTTGCCTTTTTCACTTTTACGAATCATGCCCAGTCTAAAGTAACTTGATGCACTTTCCCGCTGTGTTTTCCTGATTTGGTCCCTCTGTTTTTACTTTTTAGTTTTTACCCCCTAAATATTTCGCATTGTTCGAAAAATGATTTATATTTTTAACTAATATTCATTATATTATACTCTCTTCATTTTAAATTATATATATTTTTTAAAAAAATTTATCTTAAAATATAAAATATTTTAAATAAATTAAAATTTTATTAAATGTGTGAATTTTAATATTGTCATTTCTCTTTTTATAATTAATTTTTATTTTTTTCTTTTCGATGCATCAAATAATAAATATTTTTAAAAGTTTATATTTTTATTTTAAAAAGATAAGGTTGTTAAGTATATTTAATAAAATTTATTAGTATGTGAGATTTTATCTAAAAATATCTTATAATTTGAGACGGAGTGATTAATTTATATATTGATTATGCAATGGGAAAGATTTATTTATCTGCATTTTTGCAACAACAAAAAATTATATAATGATATCGTTTGTAACCTATTTATTTCTCTGTTTATTGTTTACATAAATATAATGGTCCATAATTATACTCTCCAATCTTTTTTATAACGTGTTTGAGCTATTTTTTACACAAATTTTGAAAACTTATTGTGTTACTTTATTTATTAAAAAATTAGAATTACAATTTTATTAATTAAAGGGATATAAATATTATTATAAAAAATATAACAGATGAAAAAAATGAGTGACGCTTTGTTATTTATGCAAGGCTATAATACTTTCTCAAGTTTGAAGAATACCATTAAAATTAAAGAATAACAATGGAATATTATTTTATATTTTTTTAAGATATTGCATAATTAGGACCACTTATAGTTTTGTGAGTCGCCTTGTAAATGAGAACCTTTGGTTATCAACAAAAATATATTAAATTTTGATTATTACATGCAACAAAGGAACATCCCAAGTGCACAAAATTCAAAGTAAACACTGCGGAGGTAAAACGCTGCGTCATGATCGACGGGACCTTGGCCGCTGGCGGGTCAATGATGCAATTTCGTTAACCTTCAGTGGCGTTTGTAATACCTGCGATGAAGGGTGGGTCACGGGGATATTATTACTCGGATGCGACACGAAGTTACGAACGTCATTTTCTACTCGTATTCTGGTAAAGGACAAGTTCGTCATTTACTTCGATGCCAACCTTCTACTGGAAAATCCTCTTTAAATAAATGTTTACACATTTGGCCAAAAAAAAAAAATAAATGTTTACACAGTATTCTCAAACACTATTTGTTTGGAGGGACTTTGCCCACAGATTTTAAGATTAAACAGATAAAAGAGCTTGGCAGGCAGATGATAGATTCGATCACCAGTACCATGTTTATTTGCCCCCTCTTATCCTATTTATAACACTTTTTAAAAATAATTTTTAATTTAAAATATAAAACAGCTTGTAATAATTAAATTATTTTTTTTATTTTTACCTCTTCTTGAATAGTAGAGAAGTATTTAATATGATTATATTATTATTTAAATTTAAGAGAAAAATAAAAATACACCTCACTTTTTTATAATAAAAAATAACTTGTCTTAAAATACATAAAAAATTGAAAGTATTTTATAATAAGAACTTGAAGGAGATACTCCTCTAATCCTATTCATAAACCAGAGAGAGAGAGAAATTTAGTCTTATTTGTAAGGCACTTACTAATTTTTAATACTCCTCTTTACATTTTTGCCCTTATCAAATGTTTTTAAATGAAAATATCAGTAATTAAATTTAAGAATATTTATTATGAGTAAAGGTAGAAACTAGTTAAATTTTAAAACAAAATTAATGAGATTTAAAATTTTACTTAATTTCAGTGAAATGTGCTGAAAATAATTTATAAATAGGATTGGAGAAAGTATTTCCTACCAAAGAGCCTAACATAAAATTTATAAATAAATAATTTAATAAAAAACAAAAAAAGTTAACATTCAAAGAATCTTATAAATTAATCAGATAGATGCATGAACTAGTAAGAGATGAATTAATTAATGAGCAGTAGTTTCAGTCATAATGGTCTTAAAGTCATTTTCAGTTAGAGTGAAGGGGGGGTTTAAAGAAGACTTTAAGTTGATGAAAATTTTAATGGAGAAGCTAATTAAGGTCCCTAGCTATGAGGTTGAAGTGTATTATGAATTATACAAGACAGAATTTGGAATTGGGCAACCAAAACTGTAGAAGAAAAGCATGGTGATTGGTCAACGGTACCATACATAAGTAGGGTGTATATTGATCTCTCATGTCGTATTTATAATATAGAGATAAAATGATTTTTTTAGTTTTATTTATAATAAATTATATCATTAATTTTTATCACAATTTTTCTTTCAACCCTATTAAATATTAGTGAGAGAACTAAAGTACAATATTAAAATATAATTCTTTTGATATAAAATAATGAAAAAAAAATATCCATTAAAGATTGTTAGAGAAAATTTATATCAATCAAAGATGAATAGATTTTAAAATTACACTGCAATCATTTGGTCCTTGACTGATATTAATGGATTATTGTTAAAATTTGAATAATATTCATTGATAAAAAAAAAGTTGACATTCAAAGAATATTACAAAATAATCAGATACATGAATTTGAGAGAGATGAATTAATGAGCAGAGGTTAATTTCATACATAATGGGAACAGTGCAATGCGATTAAAGGTTTCAAAGTCATTTTCAGTCAGACTGAGGGAATAGATGAATGTAAGGATGAAATTTTAATGGAGAAGCTAAGATCTCTAGCTACAAGCCAGATGGGATTGAAAATTGAAATGTATGATGAGCTATATAAGAAGGAAATGGGAATTGGGCAACCAAAACTCTCGGCGAAAAGCATGGTGGTTGTTGAATGGTGCTACATACATACATACATACATGTGTATATATATATATAAGTAGAGTACACATCTCTTTGGTTCTTTTTATAAGACTGACATATAATGATTTTTTATTTTTATATATAAACCATACCATTAATTTTTAACCACAATTTTTCCTTTTATCTTGTTAAATGTTTGTGAGAGAATTAAAGCACGTTATTAAAATATACTTCGTCTGATTTAAAATATTCTCCCAACTAATCTTGGTCTGAAATATAATTAAGCAACTTAATTAGTATTTGTAAAAAAAAAATATTCTCATTTTAATTCTTGTATTTATTAACGCGTTGTGTCTACCAACTCATGAACTTATTATCATTCGTCATAAATTGAAACTAAGGGTAAATAAGAAAAATAATATATATTTTTATGAAAATAAAAATTTTATTAGTATGTAAATTATTATAAAAAGCTGTTTATATTCTAGATTGGAGGCTGGAGGGAATATGTAGAGTAATTAATAAGAAAAAAATTAAAAATTTATTAAATTTTAAATAGAGTTAATAAATTTTAAATTTTTTCTCAATTTCAGTGTAATATATTTGAAGCAGCTTATAAATAAGATTAAAGAGAATATATATATATATCTATCTATCTGTGTGTGTGTGATCTCTTCCATCTCTACTATAGGGTCGCTTTTATAAAATTTTTTTTGTCCTTAATATAAGTCACTTTGCAAGACTTTGTGTAGAATTAACTGCTTTATTTCAAACATACGATTCTTATCAATTTTCAATTAGAGATAAAGAATTTTTTTAAGAAATTTATGGTATTTATTAGGGTGAAAATGAAAGTCAAAGCAAGTTTTAGACAATTTCAATGATGTAACTAATTCTTAATTTTGGTTTATTAAGAGTCAGTTACAGGTGATTTATAATAAAAAATGAAAGGAATGTATATATATACTCCCTTCATTTTTAAATATAAGAAAAACTATCATGCATTTTTTTATTCTCATTTATAAGCAAAGCTACAAATTTCTAGAAGGATTTATCACATTTTTTTCCAAATTATCCCTTTCATAAAATCAATGTTTATTTTCTCTAAACAAATTTGTTTAATTAATTATAGGGATAATTTAGACTAAATTTTTAAATTTCAAACATAATTATTATATTTTATTAACTTTTTTAATCTGTATAAATTTAATTTATTATCTTCTTTTATATTTGAGAATTGAGGGGGTATGCTCTCAAGCATTGATAATTACTTTATGATTCTAAAAAACAGTTAGTTAAAATATTAATCTCTTAAAAAAATATATTTTTTAATTATACTTTTACTAAATATTTTATAAAAGTACTTTATTAATAATAATTAAAATTTTAATGTATTATTTTTTTTATAAAAGATGTGTTATTGTGATCTTAGGGAGCATATGCATGTGGACTAGGTTAAAGAGAAATAGCTTGGAACTTGTAATTTCAAAGACTTGATATTTCAAAAGCAAGTATAATTAGGACCATACAAGTCAAGGAGGCGTATGTAGGCCAATAAATAT